AGTTTTTTTTGTTTTTAATTAATTGTTAAAAATAATAAATCATATTTTTTATTAATTTTATTTTTTTAAAACAATGCCACATCATCATTTTTAACGAAAGCTGAATAGTTCCATCACTTTTTTTTGTCGGAGCAAACTCGGAAGCTTGGTTGAGGGTTTAAAGTGTTAGTTTTTTGGGTTTAAAAGTTTACAGTGAGAGTGTAATTTCACCAGGATTTAAAGTGGTAGTAAATTTTATCTTGAAGGTTAAAAATGCAATTTTCTCCATTTCTTAAAACGAAAACAAATATTAAATTTTTAAAAGTTTGGAAACCTCTTATTTCAGAAAAACAAAATGGGGAATCTATTTTCACTATTAATAAACCAAAAAAAAATGGAGATTCTAGACTCATGTTTCATTTCGTTCGGTCTACGGCCAACTCTGCCCACAACCCATCAAATTAATAGCACAATATTTCACATCTAATTCTATTTTTTACTTTTCTAAATCTTTGTAATGTATAAAATCGAAATTTGGTGTAGTTTCTAGGGTTATGCTAATTTTTTTAACCCGAACCAAACTATAAAATAACACAAATGTAATAGAATTTCAAAACTGAATTACATGATCTCAAACTGAACCGAATTAACAAAAATAATCAAAAATTATTTTAAAACCTAGTATTGTAAATTAAATATATAGAAAAGTATAAATATATTAAACATTTACAATATTAATTAAAATTAGTTATTTTGATCACATTCTCCAAATCATTGTGTTAGTTACATAACCTATGTTTGTTAGTGAATGTTATAATGTAAATTTGTTTCTTAATGTAAGTATTAATACAATAATTTAGTTTAGATGTGTAGTCTTCTGTTGGACTGTATTTCGTATAGCTGACAATCATTTTTCCTTTTCGTTATGATCTTTAATCATGTTGTAGCTGAGATTAAATGTATTAGATGGGTGGTTCAAGGCTTTTATATATGAACTTCATATTGATATGATTGAGATTTCGTTAGAATGTGGAGGAGCTATTGAAGTTGTAAATCATTCTAAAATTAACTGCGATACGGCACCTTAGTTGTAAGTTATTTTCTCACTCCTGCCGGTGCTCCTTCAAACTGTCTTTGTCGTAAACTAATTATGAAATATATTGTTGAAATGTCATACAAAAAAACATATTTAATCATAATTAGCGTTACGTGATCCGTCTTGACTCTACGCATCGAAGAAATAATTCATAA